TGTTTACATAGATAATATAAAAATGAAAAACTTCAAATTAATTTATTTTTACAATGATTTGGAAGTATTTAAGAACAACCAACACGTGTTTCGTAAAATAGATATACCTACAAATGTGCTTAAAACTTACAAAAGTAAAAATTTAACATTAGCCGTGTTATTCCTAATGCTGATGGAAATAATAGCCTCATACGCAGATGAGCTTTTGTTGATATATTATCGCTGTCATTATTGTATTTTTTCTTGTTTTGCTTAATCTTGGCATTTTCTAGTTCTACTAAGTATTGTTATTGTTTTTCTTGGTGCTGTACTGTGTCAGGTTGCCCAAGTAAATGAAGAAATGATACATTCGATCTACGCCGCATTTTGAAAGATATTGGAGTGGTGTGTTGAACTTGGCGGACTTCATATAGAATAATTTTGTAATGGCGCCTACATACTGATTTTGCTGTGTTCTCAAAATAAATGTTGGATTCATGTTTTTGAGGTTTTTGATCCCCCTGTATAAAAAATAAATTATTAATATGCAAACATGTGTATCTGTTTTTAATAAAGCAATATTTTTTAAATATAATGGCTTCACCGAAAGTATTAAAAAATATGTAGAGTCCTAGAATATCCCAGAATGTCGAGTATTAACATAGAAGGCCATGCTTTTATATTTAAACATAAAATTTAATTACAAGCAAGTTTTTCCCATTACTTTTTCACGTAGCGTCAAGATTTAAGGTACTTTACTCTTTTCTGTTTTTACCTTTTCCAAATTTTTGAACACCCTGTACATTAAATTGAACATTTTTATGAAGAGTTATTTTTTTGACAATTGAAGTTTTGTATTCATTTCAGGTATAGGCAATCCGAACTGGGGACACCCTGTATAAATTCTATAATTCTATTAGTTTGTCACTTGGGGTTTGAAACTCTAATATTGCCAGAATATCGGAATATTTAAGGTCATGACAAAGAAGTCATTATTTTGGCACTTATGTTCAAAGTACATAAAATCGAAAATCGATCTAGTAAAATATTGAGAATTTATTTTAAAATGGGAAATTGTTAGTATAGTTTTAAGTAAAAATAAATGTGAAATAAATCCTTTTTATTCTTATTCATGTTTATTGAGTCCCTAAATAAAATTAATAAAAAAAATCAAAACTTTAGTTCTGTTAAGAAATAAAAATTCTGTAAGTACTACTATTTCAAAAGTTTGATAGCTACTGTTCTTTTCTTACTTGGTTTTCGAAAACACGATCATGTTTATCACACATGTTATAATTTTATAATAAATAAAATGAAGTTTATGTAAACACGGTGATTGCAACATAATGCTTGTTTTCGCACATTTGGCAAAAGCAACGAACTTGTCAACATTATTTTTATATGGGTGAATGTGTTTTTTATCGCAAAATAGCTAGTTGGTTATATATAGGTGGTAGATAATAATTTTATTCATGTAAATGGTGGCCAAATCAGATAATTTTAAAGGTGCAAGCGTCTTATTTTTATTGCTACAAATAAGTTTAGTTAGATTTATTATTTTATTACATTTTTATTAAAAAAATGCAATATAATGATAAAATAAAAATAATAAAATAAATTATTACCTTATTTATAATAAACATTGTAAACATATACATTTTATAAATTTTAAAGCTATAAAAATTGTTGTATTAAACTAATCATAAAAATGAAAGGATAAAAAAAATCACCTAAATTTTTGGTGATTTTCAGAAGGCCATAAAAATAGCAAATTGTTTCTAGTTTCAGGATCTGAAAGTCAAAAATTCTTATCGTTGGTCTCTTTTAAGTCTTAGGAAATCCAACGAAAAATTTTTTTCTAAATTTTTGCTTCACTTTCAAAAGGTCCACGGGTTTCAGTATATTTTTTTGGCAATCCCACCTATCACCTCTTTTACTTTGATTCATCCTATTTAATTCGAGTTGTTCAAGAGCTTTATGATGATTTCTCGCTCAGTTATCGTCGTTCAAAGGAAAAATAACCTTTTTGGTTTTGATAATAATTAATTACTGGAGAATTAATGATCGTACCGAAAAGTAGCCTCTATAAGGCGATCAGTTTTTTTTTTGGTAAAAAAAATTGTTACGATGCAAGAAACTTGATTCCAAAAATGGGAGAAAATTGCGAATTTAAGGATTTTCGATAACTTTACAAATAATCCCAAAGGAACTGTCAAAAGTTCAAATAGTTGGAATTTTTATTTCATTGTGTTCCGAGTCATTGAAATTGCCACTTATGTCAAATATCAGTTAGAGGATAAATTTTGCATCATTTATTCATTTTTTTTAATTGAAAATGTTTTTTTTCGCAAAAATTAATTTTTTTTTCATCAAAAAAAAAAATACTAAATATCGCGAAATGAAAAAATGTGAAAGAAAATTTAAAAAAATACAATATATCACAATCCTTCTCAAAAAATAATTTTTGTAATACACAGAAAAGATTTTTGGGTTAGTTTTAAAAAACAGTTTTTTTTTCTAATTAAAGCACGTAGAAACGATTTGTGCGCTAGAGAACGCAGTAAGTATTCGGGATTTGCTGAAAAAAATACAGCGACTGAGTGGGGGATATTCAACTTTTTACAATTAATTTATGAATTGACATTTCAGAGCAAGGTACAAACTGCTGTAACAAAATGACAATAAAAAATTCTTAGTGTTAGCTATGAGTGATAAAAAAATGCACTTTAAAAAACACTTTTAAAGTTTATTATGAAAAATCGGTCGACTGTTAAACATCAATTTGAAAATTAAAGTGCTCTCTGAAAAATTACTGTTTGGCATTCAGTGTTGAAAACCAGCTAAAACAGACACACACATACACACTCTTGAAAAAAATGTAATTTAAACTTGTTTTCTAATTATCTTGTGTATATGTGTAAGTGTTGGAATCCTTATCTTTGTTCTAAATTTATATGTAAGGCAGCATTCTCGGTAGTGGCATAAAATACTTGCTGTTATTTGAAATGCAAACACCATTCTAATTATAGACGAAGTAGACCTTTAACCTCATTCGGTATGAATTCAGTCTGCATTTTCAAAATATAAAACAAAGTATGGTGAATTTTCTACGTTAGTAACCTTGTCTATGGGATTAGATATCTTTTACATGCTTAGATTTCTGTATCGAAGAACATTATTAGACTTTATTCGACAAGACTTTTTAGAAACATTTATTTTTTGTTTGAATAAAGTTATTATCGTTAAAGATTAAAAAATACGAGAACTAATATAGAATATGTTTTTAAAGAGATATTTTAAAAATATTAAACTATATCTGTTAGATATTTGTTGGGTGTAATAATTACTTTTAACGTTAATACGACGAAGAACCTAGTGTCTCCCAATATTTCGGTCACTGGTCGCAGTTGTATATAAATTCATTCAAATTTTACCTTTACTTCTTTAAATTATTACCTTAAGTTTCATCCTTTCATGCCAACCATCTTCAGAGATATTTGCATTAAGGTGGCCATATTCCCGACCGAGAAATAGTGAAATTTCTGGCGTTTTTAGGTACTGAAATCTTTAAAAGTAAAACGTGTAGAACAAAAGTAAGCACAAAAATAAAATCCTTGATGTTTTGTTTATTCATTGTTACCATTTAAATTTACTCAAATAAAATAATAACTAAAAAAAAGCGTTTGTAAAACATGCGTTTGCTGTTATTCTAACCCCACATTTTAAGAATTATTTTCACGTACTTATAAATAAAAGTAAACAATTTTATATGTAGGACTAAGCAAGTAAATGTTATAAGAATATTTACATGTGGAATTATATATAAAAAAGTTAGTATTTTCGTAGATTTCAGTACCTAAAACCTTGATGGTTTGATCGATTTTTGCACCTGTTTATTCGTTTTACTGCGGCGTCTTTGAAAATACCCAGATGGCATGACATAACATTCCTATTATTTGATAAGCTTAAGATTACTCAATTATTAAATGTTTGAAATTATTTGTCTTTGTGGAAAACACTATTTAAAGAATATGGGGCCCTTAATGTCATACCTCCTAAAAACTTTGATGTTGATGCAGCTACAATTAGCGTTTATATGTATATGCGTTTAATTGTATGAGAAAATACGAATTTATCTTACAATTAGTTTTAGCAGAATCTCCCACGTGTATTTTCCAAGTAAAAATAAAACGCAGTGTAGACGGGATGCTATTCCTGTTACTATTTTGATTTAAATATACATCGAAACGTGTTTTGCCAAGTGGAATAATTTCCTGGCAAATCCATTAGTCACTTTACAAAAATACTAATCTAATAAAAACGAACTTTGGAAAGAAAACAATGAAGTTGTTAATTTAGAAAGTTAAGGTCAATGCTACTTGACCTACATATCTGAATGTATTGCAGTTTCTATTATACAGACACTTTTTAATTTTTTTGGTGGTAGGATAGAAATATTAACAATAATAATAATTAGTAAGATATAGCAAAATCTGTGAATTGTCGCTGCTACTCAGTGCTTTGATCTTTAATACAGTCAGGATTGGCAGAGAGCAACCTGCTATTTCGTAGGTACTATGAAAGAAACCACTCACTGCAATATTTTTTAACTGATGAACACAAGTCATACATGTTTTTGTTACAGGTGGCAAAATATCCAAATAAATAGAGAGTAAAATCAACTTTTTAATTGCAAAGAAATTTTACATTTTATCGATTAAGATGATAAAGTGATAAAAATATTAAATGTTAAGTAACAGTTAAAAATTGTTAATAAGACCTATTAAAAACTCATGCCATAAATAAAGATTATAATTTATATACCTAATAAATTACTGAAGTATAATTTGAGTATTATAAAAATAAGGATTTATATAGTAGATATTTTATACTTAAATTAATTATTTCAAGCACTGTAAATTTCCAACGTTGTTAGAACAAAACAAAATTCAATCATATTCATTTTTTACTACGACTATTTACTAGGAAGGTATCAACTACATAATTGTTTTTTAATGCAGGCAATGAAAGTCCGTCTTTTACCGGAAGTACTTCATTCAATGGGGGGGAGCAGGAACTTCCCAATGAAATATCTGCCCCCTACGAGGTGCCCCAGTTCCCCATCGAACAAATTGAAAAGAAACTTGCTATCCAGAGGAAAATAAACTACAAGTAAGTAGGTTACATTGTTTTGTAAAGTACATTTATGGATTTAAGAGAACGACTCACCTGCGTCTAGTTGCCACAAGGTCTTAAAACAAGCTGGGTGTCTATACTAGTTCACACAGAACTGTATTTTAAGAATTTATTTCTGTTTGTCAATGTACTGAGGGGACGTTTTGATTTCAAGCCGAAAATGATATTTTTATCAATAAAATAAAAATACAAATTGCATTATTATACATTATTATAATTTTTAAATAAAATGGTCAGGTATAATAAATTTAAAAGTTCATTTAATTTAGTTGCACCTATTAAATAATAAATCTTTCTCTGGTATTCGCAATGTGAATGCTAATAGAAGTAGATAATTGGAATTATCCACTTTTTCATTGTGAGATATTTCTGATTAACATAAACAAATATAAACATTGATTCTTTTTAAAATTTTTCTTTTTAGTGTGATAGAAATATAGTTAATTAAAAACAGCGACAGAAAATGCCTTAAACAAATAATTATGGACAATATATTGATGGTAATCCAAACATGTGTCCTTTGTATTTTTATTTCAGGTGGTTAGATATTGGATTCAAGTCAATTTTATAGAAGAAAACCAATTTTTCGTTGTTTCTTAAATTTTTAAACTTCAGGATTTTACAATTAAAAATTTTATTACAATCACAAACAAAAAAAGACTAAAATAACGTTCATTTATTTTAGAATTAAAAATTTTAATTAACTAACAATATATTTTTGTCTTAATTGACCGGAGGATATACCGGGTGATTCAGTTTGGTATTCGTGGCTTCGTATCTCTTTTATTTTCACAAATAGCTATCACAAATATTTTGCTTTTATTTGTTAATCTTAAATTAAACATCATAAGGACATTTTTAGATATTTTTCCAAAAAAAAAAACAACAAATGAAGTTGAATAGTGTTCTTTGATATTACATCTAGGATATCTACATAAGATTTCTAACTGTTGATGTTGGAGGAAGCAACTACTCTGTGGACTATTACATGTCTCAACTAGCAATAAATTACACCAGCAATATCTAGAAATTTGCGATTAATTTTCCGAAATAAAAATAAAAAAATATTTGTATTATTATTAATATAAAAACACACATGACAGTGAAATTGTTGGATATTGCAATCCTTCAAAGAAATATCTGTTGTCTATTAAGTAGGTATATGTCTTTTTGATGTTTTAATATCAGATTAAACCACGATATAAAAATAGCTTCTACCTATAGAAAAATCTTACTATTTCCACATTTTAATAGAATTATTTCTTTAGGTAGCATCCTTACTGTATAATCCCTTTCTCTTAAATCTGTTAATGTACTTTACAGTTTATTTCTTGCAAATTGCCTGCATATTAATACCTTTTAGTGTAAAGTTTACAAAACTAATGCTGTTTAAGAGTAAGTGAGGAACATTCCTAAGTGTATTTAGAGGTTTATTTATAGAATTGGAACGTAGAAACGACATCGCTGCTTTAAAGATACGGGCAGGATTAAACTGATACCAAAACTGTTTGGATATATTTCGAAAACAAATAAACCCATTGTCTTTAGATTTCTATAGCGCGCGTACGTAAACGTTATTTTTACACAAAGTTACAGCAGACTTCGCAACGTTAGGTCAACTATTATTAGAGTTTGAATTACTACAAATAAATTTTAATAACAAGAAACATGGTGGGTACAAAGACAAAATTTACTGAATACAGAGTGTTTTGGGGAAAACGTGACATACATTCAGAATCAGGCGTAACATTTGGTGCCAAAGATTTAGTCAGGTGTTGGCCATAGCTTTTTCAAAAAAGTCAAAAAATTACCCAAGTTGAATTATGAAAAAAAATTTTTAAAACAGAATTCATCTACTGAATTAAAGTATAAACTAACTTTTTTCCTGAGATATGTAAAAGATGGGAAAAGTAAGACATTTAAATTTTGATAACCGTTCTCAAACTATTACAAGAGATTTTATCATCTTTAACATTCTGTATGTAAACAACAAATAGATATTTCTATTTATTGTGACCTAGTTCCGAACATATTCTTGAAATACCCTGTATAATAATCGATGCTTCCACCTACTAATTTGTTTAATTAATTGTTTAAATTCGAAGCAATATTTCTCCATTTCTAGAAACCCTAACTTTGTTCATTTACGTTCTTGGATAAAGTCAGCCACCTTCAATTGCTACATTTAGCATAATATCCTTTTTATTTATCTATTATTTATAGAGGAAGTTATTATTCTAGTAATTACTGTTTCTTTACCGTCCGCAGGAACAAAAAATTATTGTGAAAGTAATGGTACACCCAGTCATTTAGTTGATTGATGACATGACCCAAATTTAGGTAGTTAAATAAAATTTAGGATCAAGTTAATCTAATGGCATTAGATATAATCTATACATTACACCCAATTTAAACGAGCCTGTAAAAGGTTAAAGTAGGTACCCACTGACATTAAAATGTTGCACATTAATTTGTTGTTCTTTAAATTTAAATTTCTTTCAATTTCCCTCATATCAAAAGGTACGTCACAATACAGAATTATTATGCGCCACTATTTGGAAAATACATACAGGATGTTTCTAAAATAGGGTTCCAAACTTTTGCTGCGTTTATAACTCATTAAAATAAGCCAAAAAGTTCCTATTAACTTGTGCCCTAAAACGCACCCTTAGGATGTTATATTCCCTTAAAAGGGGTCAAACAAAACTGGTACTTACATTTTCCACTCACCACTTTTACTAATTAAACACTGTAAAGCTCAATTGACAGTTTATCAATAACTTAAATTGTTAAGCGTTGTGGCAGCGTCAGTCTTTTATTTGCCATGGTAAATAGATTTTTGTAATTTTTGGCCTAATAACTTAAAGAGCAGAGTAATTTTCAAACTCAATTTACTCGAAAACCATTGGAAATATCGATTTGGACAAAGATAATATTTTGTACGTAAAATTGTTAAGATTTTATAAATCTGTAGAGAAAATTGTAAAAAAATTGAAATAAAAAAATTACGGGCCGAAAACCCCCTTAACCAACCTAAATGGGACGCATATGATTTGCATGTCGAAAAACGAAGTTATTTAACGTAAAAAGTTATGTAAGACGCATAAATTTGTTTCTATTTATTTGCGACGTTTTGTCAATAACAGAAAAAAAAGTTTCGTTTGAGCCCTTTTAAGGGCATATAACTTCCTAAGGGTGCGTTTTAGGGCACATGTTAATAGGAACTTTTTGGCTTATTTTAATGAGTTATAAACGCAGCAGAAATTTGGAATCCTATTTTAGAAACACTCTGTATAATCAACGCATAAACAAAGCAGTTCCCCTAACTTACAAAGTAAATGTACTGTAGCAGAAAAGGACTGTGCGGAATTTAATTTTCTGTGGCATTTCCAAGGTATTTAGATAGATATAATATCATGTTAACAATGTTCTTGTTACAATATGCCGAGTATTCTACATTATTACATTTAGCAGTTTATAATATTTCGCGTTCCTTTGGCGATTGCTTGGTTTTCTTTTATTGTCATAGTTTAGTCTTTTTTGTTATCATTGCACTTGAAAATATATATTAATCTTCAAAAGTAATTGAACAAAAAATAACAATTTTGTTTCCATCCAAATATTATATCAGAGAGTAAGTAACTAACGTCCATAAAACAATGGATATAAAAGTAATGGAATTTAATAGATGCATTCAACTAAAAGTATTGTATGATTTTGACAATAATTTTGAAATTTCCACATTATTATATTAATTGAAACATGACGACAGGACCATTCTGGGGATTGATCATCACTACAAATTTTGTTTGAAATAATTTATTATTCAGAGAACAATAAGTTTGACTTTTAAGGACATATACCAAAAATGTACTCCGTAATTGAACGTTCTATCGATTGCTATCATGGAAAATAATATGTTCTATTTAATATTTTCAAATTGACTTGGCTTGATATTGAAGCTTAAAGTCTTAGGGAGAGCCTTTTTGGCACACCGTATATGTCTACTGAATTATTGCATCTTATAGCTCCTTAATTTTAAATTGTATCTTACGTTCTAAGTCAGTTATCGTGAAAAATTTCAAATTTACGTTTTTAAAATCAAAATTACCACAAAAATCCGTCGAAACTGTAAATGTAGATTCAAGATTTTTATTTGTTCCACAATTTAAGATAATACCACAAAACAATTACCAATAAAATCCAATTAGCAATAAAATAATTCATGCTGAAAATAGAAATATTACTGACAGAGTCTATGCAAGCTACTTCATTTTTTAGTTTTTGTAGACAGAGTAATATTAAATATAAAATAGCTAGACGATTGGTCACTTGATAAAGAACCGGTATATAATTATAATACCGATGAAGGATATGGTGTCACAATAAAAGGGAATGGCATAAGACAAGCTGTAATAGAGAACAGAAATTAATTGGCTGATATATGATTAAAACTTACTCATGTGTCAACACAATAGGTATTTACTTACGCCATGAATAAAAATAGGCGAATGTAATTAAAAAGAGAGGTTTTGATTAATTTAATTTCGCTTTATTTAATTATTAGAACGCGACATTATTATATTTAATAAGTAGATGAGAGGAGGAAGGCAATAACAAACCAATTTGGTGTATGGTTTAATATCCTAGTATCAAACTGTATGGTAATTAGTAACTCTGCAACATTATCGTCAATTTCCTCTTCCTTCATTTTATCTATTGCTCCGTTATGCTATGAGAAAAGGATAGTTTCTTTTGATACCGAAAACCACTAACTGAAAACATAATGCTTGCATTAATTTGCCCGATTGGTAAAAATATTCTCTTATGGAAACTTTTAGAATCAATTGGTTTTTAGAAATATTGTACGATATAAATGTTTGTGTTTGCTATTTTTTCAATAGATATTCTTTTTAGAATTAATGACTCCTTTGTAAAGATCTGATAAGCAACATGCATATTAACGTTCAAATATG